TTAAATGAGATTATATCAATAAAGTAACACTCCTGGTCAGTTATGGTCAGTGAAGACATCTGTATTTTGTTTCAAGCACAGAATAATGATCTAATGTTATGTTAATTCTTTTTATTGTCACATTTTCACAATATTGGTAATTTTACAATTTTTTTTCTCTTCCTTCTCCAAGGCTGATGCAGTGGTGGATATGATTGGTTTTCCAAATTATATTTTAGATTCAAGCAAGTTGAATGAAAGATACAAGGGAGTGAGTTTCTTTGACTTAATTGGCCAAATTTCACACTGTAAAATTTCTTAATTACTGTAAATTACTTTAAACTATTTTTAGCTGGAATTAATTTTCACTGAAAAGACTTTTTGGGTTTATTTTCTGATGAGTTGAATGTATAGGGAAAAAGTTATACTCAATGGAAATACCGAAAAAATAGAAAACAAAAATTCCAAGCGAAAATAAAGTGTACTCACAAGAAAAGCTTGCATGGAATTTTGGCAGGAGGATGTAAAAACTCAACTTTGGTGACCTTTCCCAAATTATGCCTGCTTGCTATGCACAATATTTGTTTTTCATACATTTTGATACAAAGATGTTGCCAATGGAGAATTTATGTCCATTTGATCCAAAAATTAAAAAAAAAATTCTAGAAAAAATACATTAATGTGCAAAATGTTGCCCTAAAATTTTAGCAGGAAAAAATATTGCCTTCAAAGGGTTAAAGTTGTTCACTGAGATTGATTAGGTTTATGGGTGTTTGAAGACTATTATACGTATTGTACTTGGTGATATGAATTTGTACTTATAAATTCTTACATATTAGACTTATACAGTCAAAATGATTTAGCAAATGAATTCTGAACAGAAGACACAAATAAGATGGTTTTCTGTTCACAGACATTCATAGTGTGCTAATAAAAACATAGGGCAAAACTTTTCGAAATTTGTTGATTTTCCAATCATTATATAATATTCCGAAGGCACATAAACATGAAAAAAGTCATTGTAGACTGCAACTTTGCAATTCAGAGGGGATTTTTTCTATGCAGCAGAATACATACTTTTGTAATGGTGTAATATATCACCTGATCACTCTGGTGTATTGATATGTAAAAAGTAGTGCTGATAAAAGTTGACAGTTATGTTTCACCAACATTTCCTGGTGCTTGTCAATTTATTGGTCTTGCTTGTTCTTTTCAGCTGGAGTTTAACGCTGATGAATACTTTGCCAACAATCTGCGACTTGTCAAGTTTGATCTAAAAAGAAGTCATGAAAAGCTACGTAAGCCAGTGAACCGTACACGATGGGAGATGACACCTCCAACTGTCAATGCTTACTACACACCAACAAAGAATGAGATCGGTAATAAAGGGAATAGTTACACACGCATAATTAACCCTTTTACAAAATAAAACCCATATTATTTTTCCTAAATTTTTACCAAGATCTGGAAATTATGTATATATTTGGTACAAATTCTCAAAAAATATAAAAAATGGCAAAATGTTGCAGCAAATTTTGAATGGGAAAAGTATAAATTGAAATGATGATTAATAACTGTCAACATTTTTATATATACAAATATTATTATTAATAATGAAAATTATTTATGGTTAATTTTTCGCAGTATTTCCGGCAGGAATACTACAAACCCCATTCTATGATAAGGAATATCCAAGGTAAGTGTTATCCATGTATTCTTTTCCTTAACACTTGACCTTGGTGCATAACATTCACAGTTGTGACGTTTATCGAGAATTATCATTGCTGATATTAATATGGTAAATGTCATGATATTTAAATTACATTTCATTTTATATTTATGACACAACAGATAAAGAGATAAGAACACACGTGAAGTCAAATAGACTGCTTCAAGCACGTGTACAGCTTGAAAAAAAACTGATGACGTAGCAACATAAAGACGCTCATGAATATGCAAATAGTTGTGTCAATAAATATTGTCTAATATAAACATTAGACTCCCATTATTCAAATACTGTAAAGGGGGTAATTATTCACTGGGTTTTAATTTAGCTCATTTCGCTGACTGGAAAAATGCGCTAAATTAAAACACAGTGAATATGTAAAATTCGATATGGAACACATTATCTAAATGACAAAACCGTGAATTTAAAACCCACTGAATATGCCTGAAATGTTAAATCAGTGAAATTTAAACCCAGTGAAAATTAGTCATTTTACAGTAGTATGTGAAGAAACACAAATCATGTAACAGTACTGTTTTTATCATTCAATTGGCACTATATCATATATTAATATGGTTCATCAAGTAGATTATGTGTGCCAGATCTCATGCTTTAAATATAAAGAACACAATGTTGATTAGAGGATGCTAGAGGGCGCTAATCAATTTACAGTATATCGGAAAATGTCTCCATGAGTGAACATGTGAACACTCTTGCTTTTGTTTTGTGCTCTGGACTACAGAGGATCATGGATCACCAGAACAGCAGCAGTATAAGAAAGTCTTTTAGTAAATTTAAGAATTTTCAATCTATTCTACCACAGGTCCCTAAACTTTGGTGGGATAGGGGTCGTCGTGGGT